AGAGCATGAAGCAGTCCGCCGCCGGAGAGGAGAAGAGCCTGGTCGAGCTGGAGAAGCAGAACGAGGCGCCGAGAGAGATGGGGAGAGATGGGGAGAGATGGGGAGAGATGGAGAAGCAGAACGAGGCACCGAGAGAGAGGGGGGGGGGGGGGGAGAGAGACCCAGCCGTGCAGCCTTCGCCGAGTAGTAGCGGCGCTGTGCTTGAGAAGGAGGGGCATAGCTCCGCTAGCGAGGGGGCGGCTGGATGGCTCTTCAGGTGCTGTACGCGGACGTCGAGCGGTGGAACAAGTACCAGGCCAACCTCAAGGAGCTGGAGCGCTGCGAGGGCAAGAAGCTGTGGCTCGCGTACGACGCGGAGCGGGGCGAGTACGACCGGCTCAACGACGAGTGGAAGAGCAAGAAGGCCGACATGAAGGAGGCCGAGGCGGAGAAGAAGGCGCTGACCGACAAGGTGCTGCCGCTCAAGGAGCGCGTGGCGTCTGCAAAGCGGAGCCTGGCCAGCAGCACCGAGTCAGTCAAGAAGAACGAGGCGGAGATGAAGGCAGCGGTGGAGAGGAGCGAGAAGGAGGACGACGCCGCCGAAGAGGCCAAGGCGCGGCTGTGCCGCACGGCCCACGGGACTGAACCCACGCTGGGTTCGGCACGGCGGAGGTATGGGACTAGGCCGGGCTGCACAAGGTGGACAAGGCGCTCAAGAAGCTGACCGACACGGTCGGCGAGCTGGAGCGGCGCATCGAAGGCGACGAAGAGGAGCTGCGCGTCGAGGAGCAGAAGGTCAGCGTCGCGTACGGCGGCGACGTGGCGGCGGCGAAGAAGGCGGCGGCTGACGAGGTGCGGTCGGCGCGCCAAGAGCTCGAGGCGCGGGAGGACGACCTGGCCAACTACGAGTTGGGCGAGCACGAGGGGCGCGTGCGCTCCATCGAGGACCAGATCGCCGGCCTCGGCGACCCGATGCGGCTGAAGCAGGTCGAGGCCGCAAAGATGAACAGCGCGGTGCCGCACGTCGGCAAGTGGGTCTACGAGCAGGTGGGCGGCGGCTCGAAGGAGGCGGCCGAGGCCAAGGTGCTCGGGCCGATGCTGCTCTACCTCGACCTGCCCGACAAGGGGCACCAGAAGCTGGCGGTGCAGGCCTTCCCTGCGCGCACCCTCACCTCTTTCCTCGCGCGCGACGAGGGCACGCGCGACCAGCTGCAGGACGAGCTCAAGCGGCGCGGCCCTCAGACGCGGATCACCGTCTTCCGCAACCGCGCCAAGACCTTCTCGCCGGCGCCCAACCGCCCCTCCTCCGCCGACATGAAGCGCTTCGGCGTGACCGCGTGGCTCGACGAGGCGCTCCGGATCCGCGACGACTTGCGCGGCGAGGTGCTCGCCTTCCTCAAGCAGCAGATGGGGGTGGACACGTACCTGCTCGCGACGCCCGCGACGGTCGGCAAGATCGACGCGCTGCAGCAGTTTCTGCAGCAGAGCGGGATGACGGGCGTCACCGTCCTGACGCCCGAGCGCGTCTACCGCTTCGGGCGCTCAAAGTACGGCGCGAGGGCGGCCACGTCGTCGTCGAGCCTGCCGCAGCGGCACCGGCACGCCGCTTGCTTCTCGGTGGTGGTCGACACGTCGAGGAAGAAGGAGCTCGAGGGGCAGCTGAAGGAGGCCAGGAAGGGGCTCGAGCTCAAGCGCAAGGAGCGGCAGGCGGTGGAGCGCGACGTGGGCCAGCTGCAGCAGAAGCTCGACGCGGCCAAGGGGCGGCAGGTCGAGCTCAACAACAACACGGTGCGGCTCAACCGTCTTGCGGCGAGGATCGACCAGGCGAAGAAGCGGCTCGACCCGGCGCGCGAAAGCGTCGCCGGCTTCAACGCGGACGCTCAAAAGGAGGGGTACCGGAGGCGGCTGTGCGACGCGCACCAGCGCTCGCTCGACAGCCTGCAGAAGGCGGCGGCGGCGGTGAAGCGGCACGAGGCGGCGCTGACCAAGCTTGCGCTGGTGCGGGTGGGGCTGGCGGCGGCGGAGGCGCAGCTGGCGGAGGCGGAGGGCAACACGGACGAGCTCGACGAGCGCATCGCGCGGCTGCGGCGGGAGGCGGAGGCGGCCAAGGCCGAGGCAAAGAAGGCGGCCGACAAGGTTGGCGCGCTTGTGCGGGAGGCCAAGGGCAAGGCGGCGGAGTTCGCAGGCAGGAAGGAGGCGCCGCTGTCGGAGGAGGCGCAGGGGGTGTGGGACGCGCTGCCCGCGGGGGCGGACGAGCTCGAGGACAGGATCGCGGAGCTCGAGGCGGAGACGTCGTCGACGTCGGCCGACGGCAACTCGATCAAGGAGTACGAGCGGCGGCGGAAGGAGATCGAGCAGCTCAAGACGCGCGTCGACGCGGCGCAGCAGGCCATCGCGGCGCAGGGCGGCAAGGTCGCGGGGCTCGAGCAGGCGTGGCGGCCTGCGCTCGAGGAGATGGTCGACCGCGTGAACCAAAAGTTTGGCTCGTGCATGGCCGCGTTCCGGTGCGCTGGCGAGGTGTCGCTCTCGGACGGCCGCTCGCTCGACGAGCACGGCGAGCCGGCGGGCGACGACGACTTTGAAAAGTACAAGATCCACATCAAGGTCAAGTGGCGCGACGGCGAGCAGCTGCACGTGCTGGGCGAGGCGGGGCGCGATTCTGGCGGCGAGCGGTCGGTGGCGACGATGGTCTACCTCATCTCGCTGCAGGAGATCAACCCGGCGCCGTTCCGGGTCGTCGACGAGATCAACCAGGCGATGGACTCGACCAACGAGCGAATCATCTTCAAGTGCGTCACGGAGGCGTGCAAGGACGGCGGCAAGCAGTACTTCCTCCTCACGCCAAAGCTGCTTCCCGACCTCGACTACGGCGAGGACTGCGCGATCCAGCTCGTGTTCAACGGGCCGCACAACCGCCGCCGCGACCAGTTCGACCTAAGCCGCTTCTGCTAGCGCCGTCGCTACTCTCCTCGACGCGGTCTACGGCTACGCTGCTCCGGCGGCCGGGGCTCGTCCTTCGCCGCCTGTTGCTCTTCACTGGCGGGCCGCAGGCGTCGTGCGCTCGCGCAAGCGCGCCGACCCGCTGCGTGGCGCTGCGTGTGTGAATGATTCGAATTTTTGTTTTCCCTGATCGAACAAGAAAGCCAAAAAAAAAACAGCTGTCTCGAGTATGGACCTGGACGAGGAGGGCGAGGCGGAGAGCGGCCCTGCGCCTGACGAGGCGGGCGAGACGAAGGAGGGCGACGGACAAAGTCGCGGCGCAGGGGGTCCGGAAAGCGGCGGGGCTGGAGGGGGCGGCCCCTCCCCGAACCTCGCCCTCGGGCGTGTTAGAGTCGTCGGCCAGGGAGGCAGGACTCCCGCAGTGTGTGTGCGGGAGTTGGTTTGTCGGGAGGGAGGGGCAGGCTGCTCACCCACGTGCACCGGGCCAGTGCTTGCACTTTGAATGCCGTGGGGCTCCTGCCCGTGTCCGGGCGTGGAGATGCGAGGGTCGCCCCCCCTTGCCCCACCACTTTGTGTGTGTGGAGAAATCTACCTTACCTTACCTTACTCCCGCAGGGCAACGCCTATGCCGACGCCGCGACGACGGCATACATGGGGGCCAGCGAGATTGAGGATGCCAACGCCGTCATCCGTGGAAGCAGTGAGAACGCGCCCGTGTCTGTACACGGACCGCCGGAGGACGGCAGACAGAGAGGGGGGGCAGGAGGTACTGGACCGGAGGACCTATTATGCCACACGCGGCCACACGAACGAGTGGGTGCGTCACTCGTGTTGTGTCTCGCGCCTTGCGGGGGGGGAGCGGAAAGGAGGAACCTCTTCCCAAGAGCACCACTCTTGGAGCGCCGCCACTACCACCCAGAGCGCTGCAAGCAGCGCCGGGCAAATGACGGCTTACCGCCCACCCAGCCCCCCCTCGGCACACCCCGGCAGCCAATGTGTGACGGCTCGAACCCGCTAAGCCATCCCGCAAGCGGGATAGCCCGCCACTCGAACCCGCAAGCGGGCGTACGAACCGCGAGCGGCTCGCACTCGTGACACGCAGGCGTCCGCCAGACGGCGCCGGGGCTAGGCGACCGAAGAGGAACTACGGCAAGAACCGCACACCACCCGCTGACGAGCGCTCGCGGAACTGGTCCGCGGCGCCCGCCAGGGGCGTGCGCGAGACAGGGCTCGAAGCCCTTTTCTGTGAGCAGGGATTCCCTCCCGGCGGGGGTTGTGGCGGAGAGCCGGCATGGGCAGGTTCCACTTTTGGCGGAGCTGATCGTCGAACCGACCCAGGGGCCCGACCCAGGAACGCGAACCGTTCCCACCGACATGCCCGGCGCGCTGCTGTACTGCCTGCAAGTCGGCGTCACCGTGCCCTCGTGGTCGACGCTCCGTGGCAAAGCTCCGCGCGTGAGCGGTCACGCGGCGGCCGTGACTGAGGCGGGCCGCGTTCTCCTCTTCGGTGGACTGACTGATGGCGCCGGCTCGCCGTGCACAAACGACCTTTGGTCGTGCGAGGACGGCGCGTGGTCCAAGCTGGCGCCCGCCGGAGACGGCCCGGGCGTCCGCATGTACCCGGCGTCCGCCATCGTGGACAGCTCATTGTACGTGTTTGGAGGCTGGGACCCGGCGGCGCCGGGCTCGGGCGGCTCCTTCCTCGACGATGTGTACAAGCTAGACGTCGCGAGCCTGACGTGGGAGCGACTCGTGCAGCCGATGCCGTGCGGCCCCGTCTCGCGTCACAGCGCGTGCACGGTCGGCAAGGATGTCGTCGTCGTCACCTTCCGCGGCGTCACCGTTCTCGACGGCGCGACCGGCGAGATGCGCGAGCAGCCGACAACCGGCGAGGCACCGGTCGGACTGAGCATGTGCGCGGCCGCGCCCCTGGGCGAGTCGTCGATGCTCGTCTTTGGCGGCTCGACCAAGACGCAGGGCATGTCCGCTGACGTGCACGTGCTCGACACGACCAGCTGGGCGTGGCGCAAGCTGCGGCCCGAGGGGTCGGCGGAGGACGGCCGCGTGCCCACGCCGCGCGGCTCGTCGAGCGCGGCGCCCGAGGGCGAGGCCTCGTGCCTGGTCTTCGGCGGCGCCGGCCTCGGCGGCGGCGGGTACGAGGGCGGCGCCGGCCTCCGTGCATTCGACGAGACCTGGCGCGTCCGAGTCGACGGCGACGTGGCCCGCTGGGAGTGCGTGCACGAGGGCGGCGATGAGGGCGCGCCCGCGCCCCGCGTGGCGGCGTCCCTGTCGGCCCTGCCCTCGGGAGCGTTCCTGCTGCAGGGTGGGTGGGACCCCAAGTCCAAGGACACCTTTGACGAGCCGCACGTGCTCAGCGTGTGATTCCGTGTGATCGAGAGGCAGAGGGTCTGAGGAGAGAGAAGAAGAGGGGGAGAGAGGGAGAGAGAGCGCGCGCCGCGCGCGCGACGGGACGCCACGAGAAAAACGGGCGCCGGCCGCCGCGCCGTCATGTATTACATTTAAACTGTTTGGTATTGCTAAAAATATCTCCCTCCGTCACAAGCGTCATATGTGCGGGGGGGATGGGGGGGGGGGGGTTGAAAACCAACAATAAATCACGACTCTTCACAGTGATTTGGGGGCTCGGCAGCTTGTCAGAGCCCTCAGCCGAAGCTGGAGGGCCGGTCCCGTAGCCGAGAGAGCCCGCGCGCCGACGTGAGTTCGACGCGGTCGGGAGGCCTTGCGGAGAGACTAGCGAGATGGCGATCGCTGTACTTCATGGCGATGTACAAGGTCGGCTCTTTCGTTGTGGACGGATCATCTAGCCTCGAGGAAGAAAGAAAACAGACAAACCAAAACGAGGGATGGGAGAAGGACAGGGTCCCCACCTGCACGAGCAGGATCTTGGAAGGACGCGATCAGTGACACAGGGGAACGGGAGTGGGGAGCGCATCGCCTCCACAATCGCTTAGGATAGGTTAGGTAGGAAGGTGAAGATCAGTCAGGCTCAATCGCTCTCGCATTCTTGGAGCACTTGGAGTGCAGTCATCAACCTCACATCCACACACGGCCATCGCAGAGCAGATTGTGAATGAGCTTGCCAGCGGCGAGCGTGTGCGAAAAGCTTTGTTTTAAATTCTTTTGACACTCGTATGTGTGTGTGTGTGTGTGTGTGTGTGTCTACGCCTGAACCAGGTGTCAAATCTGCCGATGCGTGACCTGGTGTACCTGTGTTAGTGCCAGTGCGCGCCAGTCCCGTGCCCAGTGTTGTGCGAGGGAGTTTTGTTGTAAAATTCTTTAGTCCCGCGCGTTCCAAAATTCTTTTGACACACGGGGGCCAGGGTTCCGGCTCCTAGCCGGATAGGGAGGGGGTCTGTTGGGACTGACTCGCGCCAAAACGCCCTACCTACCTACCTATCCCCAGGCCGCGCAGCGAAGCGAAAAAAGATGAAAATAGGGGGTACCTACCTATTGCAGGGCCCTTTTGGGCCAAACAAGACCAACCTACCTACCTATCTGGGAGGGGCCAGCGTGCACCCCCTATCCGGCTAGGAGCCGGAACCCAGGCTCACACATATGCAACTCTCCAGCGCCGACCTCCTCGACGTCCTTGACGACGATCTGCTCGTGGTAGTGGCCGAGCAGCAGGCGGTCCGCTCGGTCCCCGACCTACTCGCCTTCTCCGCCGGCTGCCGCCGGCTCGAGGCAGCGTGCCGGCGCATCGGCGTGCTGCGCGTGCGGCACCAGTCGGAGCTGAGCGTGGCGCTGCTGCGGCGGTTCACGAACATCCGGAGCCTCGAGGTCGACGGCTGCCAGGCGCGCTGGATCCCGCGCCTCGCCGCGACGCTCGCGATGGTGCCCGGGCTCACATCGCTCAGCCTGCACCCACCTCGGGACGGCGGCGGCGGCGGCGACATCTCGAGCGGCGGGCTGCTGACCGACTCGGCGGTGGCGGCGCTGGCGGGCGCGCTGCACGCGCGCGCCTGCCCAAGCCTTCTCCAGCTACAGCTCGACGAGCGGCTCTCGGAGGACCGGTGCCGCGACCTGGCCGAGCCTCTCGCCCCGTCCGCCGGCCTGCTGCTCTGCGTCGCGCACGCGCACGCGCCGCTGCTGCCCGAGGCGTTTGCGCGCGGCGCGTGCGCGAACGCGGCCTTCGCCGACGGCACCTCGGCCCTCGCCCTCGCCTCGCTCCACCCGAGCCATGACCTCGTGAAGTGCTTGCTCGCGCAAGGGGCCGGCGTCAACGCGCCCCGCGCCGACGGGGCGACGCCGCTGATCATCGCGTGCAACCGCGGCCACACGGCGTCTGCCACTCTGCTGCTCGAGGCGCGAGAGACATCTCCCCACACCTCCCCACACCTCCCCACACCTCCCCACACCTCCCCACACCTCCCCACACCTCCCCACACCTCCCCACATCTCCCCACATCTCCCCACACCTCCCCACACCTCCCCACATCTCCCCACATCTCCCCATATCTCACGCCACCCTGCTGCTCGAGGCGCGCGCGGACGTGAACGCGCGCACGGCCGACGGCACCACCGCGCTGCACACGGCGGCGTACAAGGGGCACGCCGCCGCCGTCGCGAAGCTGCTCGAGGCGGGCGCCGAAGTGGGCGCGGCCTGTGTCGACGGCATGACCCCGCTCACAATCGCAGCGCGCACCAACCACGCCGACATCGCGGCGCGGCTGCCTCGAGGCGAAGGCGGCGCCCAACTAATGAACGAGTCAGCGGTGGGTGAGCTGTTCCTTAGGCGCAGCTGCTCGAGGCGAAGGCGGACCCCGCGGCGGTGCTTCGCGACGGCGGCACGCCGCTGCTCGCCGCGGCATGCGAGGCTAGAGGCGGAAAGAAAAGAAAGACGCCGTGGCTGCACCCCAGCCAGCGCTCGAGCGGAGGCTTAGTCCGCCGTCACTCGACCGCACCCCGCTGTCTGCGGGCTCGTGCCGCTCGGACTCACGCGGCGCACCGCGCACTCAGCCCAGTGGTCCCCGCCCCGCGGTTGGCGTGCTCAGCGCGTGCGCGTGGCGCTGCCACCGCACCACCCACGGGAGTGAACCCACACCGGGTTCGAGACCCGGGAGGCGTGTGGGAGTAGGCGTACAAGGGTCACGCGCGGGTCGTGCGCGTGCTGCTCGA